ATTGGTCTTTAAGGTTTTTTGTTTTTGTTTAGGTGTTTTATCTGGTTTTGGTATCAGGGTAATGCTGGCCTTATTTGAAAATTTTCCATTCTCTTCTGTTTTTTGGAAAATTTGAAAATAGATATTTACTTTTTTTGAAATATTTGTTAGAATTCACCTATGAATTCATCTGGTCCTGGATTTTCGTTTTTTAGGTAGTTTGCCTTTTTTTTTTTTTTTAATAACAATTCAATTTTGTTTCTAGTAGTTGGTCTGTTTAGATTTTCTATTTCTTCCTGTTTCAGTTTTGGAAGATTATGTTTCTAGGAATTCATCTATTTCTTCTAGGTTGTCCAATTTGTTGGTATATGTGTTTTTCTAGTATTCTCTTATAATCCTTTGTATTTCTTATGGTGTCAGTTGTTACTCCTCTTTCATTTCTAATTTTATTTATTTGGGTCCTTTCTCTTTTTCTTTTGATGAGTCTGGGTAAAGGTTTATCAATTTAGTTGATCTTTCCTGAAAACCAGCTCTTGGTTTTTTGTTTTGTGTTGTTTTGTTTTAGTCTCTATGTCATTTGTGCTATGATCTTTATTAATTCTTTCTTTCCACTCACCTTGGACTTTGTTTTTCTTTTTCTAGTTCCTTTAGGTGAAAGTGTAAATTATTTATTTGAACTTTTTCTTATTTTTTGAGATTGACCTGTAATGCTATATGTTTTCCTCTTAGAACTGCTTTCACTATGTCCTAAAGACTTTGGATTGTGTTTCTATTATCATTTGTCTCCAAGTATTTTTAAATTTCTTCTTTGATTACTTCTTTGACCCACTGGTTGTTTAGTAGCACTTGTTGAGCCTCCACAAGTTTGTGTTTTTCTTTTTTTTTTTTTTCTTGTGATTTCCAGTTTGATACCATTGTGGTTGGAAAACATGCATGGTATGATTTCATTCTTAAATTTTTTGAGGCTTGTTTTGTGGCCTAACATGTGATTTGTTCTGGAGAAAGTTCTATGTGCACTTGAAAGAATGTGTTTTCTGTTGTTTTGGATGGAATGTTTTGTGTATCTGCTATGTCCATCTGTTCTAATGTATTAATCAAAGACACTGTTTCCTTATTGATTTCCTGCCTGGATGATCTGTCCATTGATATAAGTGGGGTGTTAAAGTCCCCTACTATTATTGTCTATTTCCATCAATTTCTCTCTTTATGTCCATTAATACATGCTTTATGTATTAGGTGCTCCAGTGTTGACTGTGTTGATATTTATAACTGTTATATCCTCTTGGTGGATCAGTCCCTTTACCATTATGTAATGCCTTTGTCTTTTATTACAATCCTTGTTTTAAAGTTTGTTTTGTCTGATCCAACTTTTTTTCCTTTTGCTTCCATTACATGGTAAATGTTTTTCCATCCCTTCACATGAGTAAGGTGGAAGGGGAATGTAGACTGTATGCCTCAGACCCTTCCACCCAGAGAGTGTTCCAATAGCTCCCCTCTCACCACAGCTGCCAGCTGGTAGAGTTCTAAGCTTGGTTCTTTTTATGCTAGTTGCTCTTTTAAACCACAAGTTTTTTTTCTGTGCCCCAGCATGACTGCAGCTAGTATGGGTTAAAGGGCTTGGAGCTTGCTAACGCAGCAAAATTGGCTATATTGTCTGGACCCTGCCTGCTCCAGCCTGTGCTTTCAAGGTAGAGGAGGGACATAAAACTCTTATCATTCTCCAGTCCCTGTGACTCAGAGAGTTTTCTTGAAGCTTCTCTCACCATTTGGTGGAATTCTGGGCTTGCTCTTTCATATGCTAGTTACTCTTAAACCAAGGCATTTTTTCCTGTGCTAAAAATTAGCACTATTTTGCAATTATTCTGGAGTATAAACTATCTCTTTCCATGTCAAACTTTATATTTGTCTCCATGGAGCAAACTGAGATCCTACTTGAGGTATAGCTCTAGGATGATTCTTTCAAGTTGGGGTGGGTCTTATGGTTTTTATAGGGTCTTCACACAAGCCTTCTCAGACACAAAGTAACAGCCTGCTCCCAGATTCTCAGATTTTCCCAAATCAAATTAGATAATTCCTATCCCCAGTTTCAGGAGTCCTTTTTACCAATCAATGCCCTAACTTGTATATACAAGACTCGAGAGTCAATAAATTCAATTTAGGTTGGAATTCTTCAACCAACAAAATTAAATTTGGGGTCAAGTTCAGCCCTGCAGCTTATAAGAAATAAGTGATTCTTGCAGGACCACCACAGAAGCTCTCTGATTCTCTATGTCTAGAGTTAAAAATTAAAGATCTGAGCTTGTCATTTTGTGTAGGCTCTCCAGTGCACTCAGAAGCATCACTGCTACCATAATTATCTAGTCTCTTGGGGCTTCAGTAGGCATTTCATCACAATCAACTTCAGGTAAGTAAGCAACAAAATACCCCACAGCATGGGTTTATCATATGTCAGTTCCTCTTGATAAGGAGATCATTACTGAGTTCAAAGCTAAGGGACATGGCCAAACCAACAATATCCCATTTTGAGGGGCTGTTTCACAGGACTACTTCTTGTTCTGAGTATCATAACAGTCAGGGCCCATTAGGAAAACAGATTCATACTATTCCACTAGAGAGAATTTAACATAAGGAACTGGTTAAATAGATGTTTAAGAACTGAAGAGCATACATGCAAAAGCAGTTACAATTCCTGGAGCTGAAGAAACAAAGGGAAAGGTTTGGGATTATCACAATATAGACTTTTGGAGGAAGGGATCTGCAGAATTAGGACCAAGATCTTGGAGGAAAGAACACCATCCAGGTGCTGCTATGACCTCTGAGGGGTCAACTAGTTCTGCTAGCATGTCAAAAGAGTCAGAGACTAGAACAAACTGCCAGTATCCAGGATAAAGAACTGTTGCAGAGTAATACTGTTAGAAAGGAGTAAGCAGGAAGGATCAAGTCCTTTTTCTTTTTTCTGCCTTCCATCCTCCCTCTAGTAGTCCATATTAATGTAATTACCAGCTGGCAAAGATGATTTGGTTTTGCAGAGTCCCAGCCACAGCATCACAGAGCAAAGTATAGAAGGGTAGGATTGAAATTGAGAAGCCACAGTAAGATGGCCCAGAATGCACGTTTCTAAATACAATGGTGCACACATGTGCGTACACACACACACACACATACACACACACACACACATCCTGACACTGGTGTACACTATTTTGGCATTAAATTTTTTTTCTCATGATATTAACACACATTTCTTTCCTTATTTTCCTTTCCTTTAAATAGAAAATACAAACAAACTCAGAAGAAAAAAGATGTATCCCACTGCTGGAAAGATGACCATTATTAACACCTTCATTTAGATTCTTCTAGACCTTTTTTTCAACGTGAAGGTGTGTATTTTCCATGAAATTGGAAATTTATATACAGTGTTATTTAAACATTTTTTTTTACTTAAATTCAATTTGCAAATATATAGTATAGCATCCAGTACTCATCTCATCATGTGCCCTCCCTAATGCCGGTCACCCAGTTAACCCATCTCTCCACCCACCCCTCCTCTTCAACACTTCGTTTTCCAGAGTTAGGGGTCTCTCATGGTTTGTCTTCTTCTCTAATTTTTCCCCATTCAGTTTCCCCCCTTCCCTTATGGTCCCTTTCACTATTTCTTATGTTCTACATATGAGTGAAACCATATGATAATTGTCTTTCTCTGACTGACTTATTTCACTCAGTATAATACCTTCCAGTTCCAACCACATCAATGTAAATGGCAGGTATTCATCCTTTTTGATGCCTGAGTAATACTCCATTGTATATGTATACTACATCTTCTTTATCCATTCATCTGTTGAAGGACATTGTGGCTCCTTCCACAGTTTTGGTATTGTGGACATTGCTGCTATGAACATTGGAACATTGGGTGCAGGAGTCCCATCATTTCACTACATCAGTATCTTTGGGTAGATGCCCCATAGTGCAATTGCTGGGTCATAGAGTAGCTCTATTTTTAACTTCTTGAGAACCTCCACACCGTTTCCAGAGTGGCCACACCAGCTTGCATTTCCACCAACAGTGCAATTTTAGCCATTCTCACTGGTGTGAGGTGGTATCTCATTGTGGTTTTGATTTGTATTCCCTGATGGCAAGTGATGTGGAGCATTTTCTTATGTGCTTGTTGGCCATGTGTAGGTCTTTGGAGAAATGTCTCTGTTTCTTGACTGGGTTGTTTCTCTCCTGGGTGTTGAACTTGATAAATTCTTTATAGGTCTTGGATACTAGCCCTTTATCTGATATGTCATTTGCAAATATTTTCTTCCATTCTGTAGGCTGCCTTCCAGTTTTGTTGACTATTTCCTTTGCTGTACAGAAGCTTTCTTTCTTGATGAAGTCCCAGTAGTTCATTATTGCTTTTGTTTCCCCTGCTTTTACAGATGTGCTTGCAAGAAGTTGCTGTGGTTACATACAGTGTTCTGAGCTGCTTTAAAAAACACCTTATCGTATCATCAAAAATTGCTCACATCAATACATAAATTTATTTATTTACAACAGTGGGTTCAAAACTGTTCTTATAACACTTAATGGGAGGGCCCTGCATTCTACCATATATCTCAATCACAACAATTCCACTTTTACTTGTTTTACATATTTGATTTTCGTGGGGAAAAAGAATTCAATGGCCAAAATATTAGAAACCAACTGATTCATCATATAAGTATCATATCATTTTCCACTTTTATGACAACCAAAGATAACTTTATAACTACATTTTTGTAGAAAACCCTAGTAACATGGGATATCATGCTTTTTATGTTTTTACTCATTTGACAGTACCTGAAAATTATTTTAATCGGCATTTCTTGGATTACTAATAAGATGGCCAAGGTTTTATTTATTTGATGGTCATTGTGTCTGTGGCAGTCTTTCTTTACAGACTCTAAATTTTCTAGGCATGGATCTAAAACCTTACTTTCTAATGTACAGAGCCCCTGCCTCTTCCACACCTTCCCCTCATTCCCCCACCCCCAGTTCAAGGAAGCTCTGACTTGAAATATCCACTGCTTATCTGCAACCCCATTTCCCTGCCCTCTACACTTGGTAATGATTGTATATCCTCCTCCACAGACAACACAGATGCTTTTGCTCTGGGGTCCCTCATCCTCCTAGTACCCCACACTAGACATCACATCTAAAGCTATTTTTATTTTTCTTCCTGGCTTGGATAATAAAGGCTTTTTTGATCTTTAAATCAACCCCTTTACCTGAATACTTGATCCTATCCTTGTTGGTCTCCTCTGGATTTAGTATGGTGCCTGGCAAACAATGGATGCTCAAAAACTATTGAATGAATAATGGATCTTGTTCTATTAATTTTCTCCCTTCTATCTCCGTAGTATGGCTAGCTTCTCTAACTCTTCTCTACTCTTTTTGCCTCCTTTCCTTTAGTCTGTATGTGAGCAAGTCATTTCCTGTTCATAATTGTCAGTTTTGTGTATTAACTGGGCTAGGCTAGAGTACCTAGTTACTCAGTCAAACACTAGGTGTTTCTGTGGAGGTGTTCTACAGATGGAATTGTCAGCTACAATCAGTTAACTTTATGTGAAAAAGAGATTATCCTGGGAAATCTGGGTAAACCCAATCCAATCAGCTTAAAAGGTTTTATTTATTTATTTATTTATTTATTTAATTTTTTAGCTTAAAAGGTTTTAAAACCAGAACTGAGGTTTCCCTGAAAACAGGAAAGAGGAAGAAATCCCATCAAACAGAAGATCAGTAGCTTCAGCTCCTGCTTGAGTTTCCAGTTTGCTCTTGTTGGCCTGCTATATGGACTTCAAACTTGACTATCCAACCTCCACAACTGTGCATGTCAATTCTTTCAGATAACTTCTATGTTTTAAAAGCTATCCAAGTAATCACAATCAGCCAGTTTTGGGAACCAACAGCATTCAGGGTAAAACCCAAGTTCTGCCCAGGATCTGATACCACAACTCCCAGCTTCATCCCTCAGCACATACCATGCTCCAGCTATACTGACCCAAGACTAATGATTCTTCCAACCCATGTTGTTTAACTCTTTTGTCAGGGATGTCATTCTTCCCTTATATGCCTGAGAAATTCCTAATCATCTTTTAAAAACTCTATTCCAGCATTATCTAGTCTCTTACTCAACCAGTAAATATCGATAAACTGTGAAGTTATATATGTGTGGTTTAACCACATTAAATATGTGTGGTTCTTTGTATAGCAATTATACCTCAATAAAGCTATTAAAAATAAAACTATTAAAATTTATTGAGGTCTTACTATATGCCAGGCTCTGAGCTAAGCATTAAGAGAAAAAATTAGTAAACTATACTGGTAGTACTGCCTTCAGTAAGCTCAGATGCTGTTGGAGAGAACATACAAGCACACTAATACAATACGGTGAAGTAAATTTTTTTTTTAAAGATTTTATTTACTTATTCATGAGAGACACACACAGAGAGAGGCAGAGACATAGGCAGAGGGAGAAGCAGCTTCCTCACAGGGAGCCTGAACAGTGAAGTAAATTCTATGAGAGAGTACATGGTAGCTGAATAATGGCTCCGCAAAGATGTCCACATCCCAAACCACGGACTCTGTGACTGTTACCTTACATTGCAAAACAAACTTTGCAGATGTGATTAAGTTAGATTCTGAGATGAGATTATATTGGATTATTTTGGTGGGTCCAATGCAATCACCAGGGTACTTCTAAGTAGGAAGGTGGATGAGAGAGAGAAAAGGAGGGTGGAGGGAGTTTGAAAGATGCTACATTACTGACTTTGAAAAAGGATGGGATCCCTGGGTGGCTCAGGGGTTTAGCGCCTGCCTTCGGCCCAGGGTGTGATCCTGGAGACCCCGGATCTAGTCCCACGTCGGGCTCCCTGCATGGAGCCTGCTTCTCCCTCTGCCTGTGTCTCTGCCTCTCTCTCATGCATAAATAAATAAAATCTTAAAAAAAAAAATAGAGGATGGACATATGAACTCAGGAATGCAATGGAAGTGGTCTTTAGAAACTGGAAAAAATAAATGAATTTTCCACTAGAGCCTCCAGAAGGATCCAGCCCTGCCAACTTTAGTCCAGTGGGATCCATTTTGGACTTCTGACCTCCAGAAATATAATTCTTTTAAGCAATGAAGTTTGTCGTGATTTATTACAGCAGCAATAATAAGCTAACACAGAGGCCAATTCAAGGCACGATGGTAATATATAAAGAAGTCTCTATTTCAAGCTATGGAGTGGGGAATGAGATTTCAAGAAGAACCACCAGGGGAAGGAAGACTGTGTTTCATAGGGATGATCCAAGTGGAGGAATTAGTATTTGCAAAGGCATGCAGGTAGAGCTTGGCAAATGTTACAAGAGGACAAGATTATTACTCCGATGAAACAGTAGAAATAGAAATAAGAACAATATTAATTCTGGTAAGAGTAAATATGTTTGTATGCCAGACACTGTTCTAAAGCACTTTACAACCCTAAGGTAGAGACTACTATTTTCATTTTACCCCTTAGGACACTAAGGTTTGCTGGAGTTAAGTAAATTTCCTGAGGTCATAGAATTAGTAGTAAATGGCAGACCTAGAATTATAACCTTGGTGGTCTATCTCCAAGACCCATGGGCTGCCTTTCTAACACGTTATAGACCTTTCTCAAGTAAGGTGTCGTCAGTGTGGCTGAAGACAATCTATCAAGAAGTTATTAATGAGGTGAAGATCAGCAGAGCTTGCAGCACCAGCTTGCTGTAAACACTGATGGAGGATGGGGGTGACCGACAGTCGGATAGATAAGGGAACCTTCCTGGACGGGCTTGGACAAAGTAAATCTCCTCTTCCGTGTTTCAAATACCACACCTTGCATGAGCCTCTTCATTTCATTTCTTCCGCTCCCCCTAATGTCTGATGCGGAAATGGGGGTGTACGGGCGGCCTCCGGGTCTACACCTGTAAAATGCCTTTAAGTAATTCCGAACTTCCCGGTAAGGAAGCCTCAACACAAGGCAGATTCCTACCCTCAGGGCGATTCTGAGTAGGACTGGGACGGAGCCTCCCCCCGCCCCTCCCCGGGGGATTCGGATCCGCGGCCAGGTTTCGGTGACCAGGGACTGGACGACCGTCCTTTCCACGCCACTGTATTTGGTCCACGATTCGCGAAGGCCCCGCCCCTCGCCCCAGGCCCCGCCCCCACGCCCGGCCCCGCCCCCCGCCTTCTTTCTCCTCCCGATTTCCTCCCTTCTCTCCTCCCTCGGTCGCTCCGTTAGGTCTCGCCCAGCTCCGCCCTTCCAAGCCTCTCCCGGGCCTCCCAAGATGGCTGCGGTGCTGGCGGGCCCGGAGCCGTGGAACCGCGTGAGAATCCCGAGGGCGGGGAGCAGCAGCGTGGTCACCGTCCGGGACCCCGACGCCGCTCTGAGTGAGTGAGGGGCCCGCGACCGGCACACGCTTCCGGAGGCGGTGTCCGGCGGGCCCGGCGCACGTGCGCGGGGGCGGGACTTCCTGGGCCCGCGGGACTCTGGGAAGGGGCGCGGGGCAGGAAGCGGGGCAGGGCGCGGGGCAGGGCGCGGGGCAGGACCCGGCAGAGGGCTCCCGGCCGCCGGTGATGCCGGCAGCCCGGGGGGCCCGTGGCTCGCTCTGGAGTCGCTCACTAAACCCACGACGCCGCCCGCACGGCCTGGCCGGAGCCAGCCCCGCGCGCAGGGGGCGAAGAGGGGGTGCGGCTCGCCTTGGGCAGGAGTGCTGCCCGGAAGCCCTGTGCCGCGCGCGGGCCGCCAGCCGCCCCGTTCGCCCTGCAGGCTGCGCTGAGCTCCCACGAGGGCGCCGGGGCCGCCGCCTTTACCCTGCGATCTTTCAGGCCCCCAGGTCCTTAGCTGTGAAACGGGGTTCGGGGCAGCCCGGGGGACTCAGCGGCTGAGCGCCGCCTGCAGCCCGGGGGGTGACCCTGGGGACCCGGGATCGAGTCCCGCGTCGGGCTCCCTGCTGGAGCCTGCTTCTCCCTCTGCCTGGGTCTCGGCCTCTCTCTGTGTCTCTCATGAATAAACAAATAAAATCTTTAAAAATAATCAATCAATCAGTCAATCGGGGTAAGTCCTCCCTACATCTCCCTGGCTGCTAGCATCTAATGATGTTATGAGGCGAGCGTGCTCCTAAACCAAAGTGTTTTAGCCACGGTACCTGTTTTTAGGCAGGAGGGCCCAGTATTGGGAGCTTGGCTCAGGAGCCAAATTGGGTTTGAATCCTGGCACTTCGCTCCGCGGGCGCAGGCAGGCCGGGGGTGTCGTGTGACCCTTCTGTGCCTCGGCTCATTTTCAAGTGCAGGTAAAAATAGTACCTGCCTCATAGGGCTGTTTGGAGGAAGAGTCACTGTTACAAAGTGTTTGGAACAGGGCCTGTACGGTGAATAGACCCCTCAAGTGATAGCACCCATCTCACCGTCCACCCAACCTGTGCAATGTATAGACTAACTTTGCCTCTTCCTCTGTTCAAAAATTCTTTAACAGGATTTCTGTGAGGCCATTCTGGTTTCTTAGAGTTGGGCAAAATGAAGTTCTCCGTGTTCTACAGGAATCCGCCTTTGTATTACATCCATCTGGGAGGCTGGCGCTACCCTTACTGCCACCTGGAGACATTAACTCCGGCTTCTGCTTCACAGCTTTTGAGACTAGGAAGCCGTTCCTTCCTTCTGCTGAGCACCCTGTGTTCAGTCAGACATTCACCAGTGTAACTTGCAGTTGCCACAGTGGTTTCTCTTTTCTGAATATATCCTTACCTGAAAGTAGTACCCGCATACAGCACCTGTGCTTTTAAGAATAGGAGTTTATCCATTCTGTCTTGCTAGGGGATTTTTTTTTTTTTAATTTTATTTGTTTATTCATGAGAGACACAGAGAGAGAGGCAGAGACACAGGCAGAGGGAGAAGCAGGCTCCCTGTGGGGAGCCCCATGCGGGACTCTATCCCGGGTCTCCAGGATCACGCCCTGAGCTGAAGGCAGCGCTAAACCACTAAGCCACCTGGGCTGCCCCTAAAATAGGGGATTTAGAGAAGTTTATAACATGTACCCCACTGTCAAGGTACTTAGGTGTAAGGAGACACCAAATGATTGCAAAGTATTCATATGAAAGATTAATAAAAATAATAACATAGGATACAAAGACACTAACAGATGCTCTCTCAGTGATTTCTGGACTTTATCTCATCAGCCACTATTTTCTATTTTCTCACTTACAATTGTTCATTATGTTCTTACAGTTGTTTGTTTTTAATCCACTTAATAAGGAAAGATGTTCCTTCACAGTATTTTTACATAATAAACTTAATGTAGAGATACTTATTAAGTCTTATTAATATCTCTGGTTTAGACCTCTGTGTTGCAGCTGTAATTAGAGAATGCGGTCTTGTTACACTGTCACTGAAGAGCCAAACCTTAGATGCAGAAACAGATGTGCTATGCGCAGTCCTTTACAGCAATCACAACAGAATGGGGCGTCACAAGCCCCATTTAGCCCTCAAACAGGTAAGGAGGAAGCCTTGTGTTAAAGACTCAACATGTTTACTTGATGAAAATGAGATCACACTGCCACCTAATTCTTTGTTATTTAGGGAAACTCAATTACTTTTGACTCAATAGATCCTTAGTCCACAACTGCCTGTGGACTTTCATTTTTGTTTCCCCTGATAGCATTTCAAAAACCAATTTATTCAGAAAGGAACCATGTTTAATTCTTTCTCAGTCTTGTTTCTAGTGGGTAATTTTCATGAAAAGTTTTCTTCATTATATGTAATCTGTAATAAATTACAGTGCTTTTGCCTAGTTCACAGATACAGTGATTTGAGCAAGACAAAGTGTTGGATTAAGAGAATTTTCTGAACACAATAAAAATCCTGAAATCATAAAAACAACAAAAGTTGTGTGCTGTGGGGCACATAATCTAATCAGTAATGTATTAGACTGAATGGTTGTATAACAAGTTATGGAAAGTGGTTTCCTATAATTTTTAGAGTTTAAGACAAAATGGGCCCTCTTTGTTAGGGACTACATCGTATAGTCAAGTCTAAGCTGGGTTCCTTATAAGCTCATTCATTCATTCATTCACCTTATTCATTCTGCAGGTATTTTTTTTTATAACTTTCTATGTGCCAGGCACTGTGCTTGGTGCTCAGTATACAGGGGTGAAAAAGACAGACACGTTCTCTAACCTCACAGATTTGTGCTCTCTGGTTAATTTTCCACTCCTATTATCTAAAGCAAAAGAATGGAGATTTCTTCATCAAAGAAAGATCTGGGAGCATGGTCTTTCTCTTAAGTTTTTTTCTCTGGGGCAGCTTTTTATCTCTGCACGAGTCTTATAAAACCACACTTGAATGTATTTCATGTTGAACATACAGATTGAACCTATTTTTTCCTTCTGGCTTCCAAGCTGTAAATAATTATTCAATCAGAAAAATTTGGTGTTTTCTCTGCTTCTTCCTTTTATTTGGCCCTCCCATTCAGTCAACTGATCAGTCAAAGCTTCCTCTGCATCTAGACCCATCTTTGAGTTCTGGCTGCATCTTCTTTTTTTCAGACCTTGTCAACTTTCAGTTGCCTTGCTATCCTAATTGATCTTTCCTCAACCCCAGTCTTTACTATACTCTGGCGTATTCCATATGCAAAGCCAGGTTAATCATCCTAAAAAATAGCTTTGATTTTTTTCTAATGGTTCTCCTGAATAAAGATGAAACCTCTTAGCTTGACTTATAAGATCTTCCATGATCTGGCCTTTTCAGTTTTCTTTAGCTCAGGCTTCTCTCTCCCTTTCATATATTTTATATTCTAGGCAACCTGAACTCTTCACAAGTTCCCCTGATCACCATGTTCAATTTCTCCCCTGACTTTTGCTTACCTGGTCCTGTATGTTTAGAATGCCCAGCCCATCTGATGCCTGGTAAAGGCCTTCCCATCCTGCAAGTCCCATTCCAAGCCATCTGGCATTGATAAACTTCTTCCTAAGGTGTAACAGGAGGGCATATTGTGATAATCTCATTTTAAGTTGCATTTTTTGATTATTAATATAGTTAACTCCTCTTTTATGACTGTGGACTATTTGGGATTCCCCTTTGTGATTCTCTTATGATATTGAGTATGGTCTGCATGTGGCAGTTCTTTGTGTACGTTTTGTGCTCCCTACTATAGGGAATGTGTTTTATGCTGCTGCAGCTACTATCCCCATTCCTATTACTGCCTTCTATATGTTTAGCATTTCACTATTTACACATTACTGTCATCCACTTGACTTTTTTCTCCCTTCAAGGAAAGCTAAGTAGTAGAATTAGCATGCATCCCTCTAATGTTCCCATACATACAGCACAGAAAATAGTCTGGATTCCCCTTTCTGTATAATACTTTTGGTATATGAAGACTGTTCTTAGGTTGTTTCAGTTCTCTTTGCCTTGCTACAATTCTCAAAATTATTTTCCCTTATTTGTTTTGAATCATAGCTCACATACTATATTTCCCAAGTTAATTTTACCATCTTGGTTTGTCAATACTTCTCTCAAAGTATAGTGTCCAAAATTAAAAACTGAAGATAGGTGCTAACCTCAAAATTTGAAGATTGTTGCGTCCCTTGTTCTGAAAACTATGCTGTTATCACAGAATCAATTCTGAAAATTTTCATTAGTATGTATGTGGCTTTGGCAAGATATCTTTGCTAGTATCAGTGCCCCATTCAGATTTTAGACCCTCAAAATCCAGATGCAGTCCTGTACATGCCCTTTATGTGGTATTTCCTGAGGACTATAGAATTCTTACCACATTTTGCATAATGGATAGCTCTTTTTTTTTTTTTAAGATAAAAATGCTGTTAGGTGCCTACTTAACACTGTGCTAAGTACTGAGTTAGAGTGGGGGATAAAATAGATGAAATATATTGCCCTCATGGAGCTTACATTGTAGTTGAGAGGAGAAAGACCATCAATCAATTAGTCAGTTGATCAAATGTCAGATGGTGGTAAGTGCCATGAAGAAAAATAAAGCAGGAAAAGGAAGAGTGCTGAGGGGATTGCAATTTTAAAGAAGGCATATCTTTTATTTTAGTATTTAAATACTTTATATGTCTTATTTTTACTACTAGATTTTTATAACAAGAGAATGGGAAGTACCTTATATACTACTTTATTTCCTAGCATACCTTGGAAATAATAGATGTTCAGTATACATTTGTAAAGTGATTTGTAAAATCCGTCACTTGCCTCATTTCTGTGGCCATTTACAAACTGTTGAAATTTAGTAGTTAATTAATTTACTATCTTGTTTTAATAGTTTGAGAATAATCTCATATTTACTTTGATGCACTTTATAGCATCAATCACATCCTGGCATATAGTAAATTCTTAGTTATAACTTGACTTGAGACATATGTTTGGCTGGGTTAATTTCAAATTTTTAAGCAGGAGCAATTGCTTTTGGGGTGGATTACCCTAAAATAAAGTTATTCTCTGGTATTCAGTATATTTCCATACTTTTAACTTCTGCATTTCTTTGCTTTCCTGGTCACATCAATGGCCATGTCTGTATTATATGAATTTGAGCTGCTCTTCCCCTTTCAGGTTGAACAATGTTTAAAACGTTTGAAAAACATGGAACTGGAGGGTTCAATTCAACATCTGTCTGAGTTGTTTTCTTCCAAGTAAGTGGTCCAGTTGCATTCTGATGGGCTTTGTGGTGGGTTGGGAACTCATGGTCTTCAATATGATCACCCTTTGGGGACTTTTCTTTGCCTGGTGCTGGGATATAACCCAACAGGGGAGCTTTACAAATTTTGTCTTAATAAGGGGCACCTAGGGGACACCTGTGTGGCTCCGGGGTTGAGTGACTGCCTTTAGCTCAAGGCATGATCCTCGATCCAGGATTGAGTCCCACATCAGGCTCCTTGCGAGGAGCCTGCTTTTCCCTCTGCCTGTGTTTCTGCCTTTCTGTGTCTCTAATGAATAAATAATTACATCTTTAAAAGAAAAAATAAGGGACACATGGTTTTTGTGACATTCTCTCCTCAGTGGGAGGGACTGGCATGACACAGGTAGGGTAGATTATATTGAAACATTATTACATAATCTACCAGTCATTATTGAACATAACTACTTCAAATTGAGTTTCTAGCTCATCTGCACTTGAAAACTGTACTTTACAATTAATGAACTTTAAGAATGAAAGTAACATTCTTTTCCATTTTTGTGAAGCAAAAACCAGCCAGTCACTACCAAAGCATGTGTTATTCCCAGCCAACCAGTGGTCGAATTGGTGCTCATGAAGATTTTGGGAGCATGCAAGTTGTTACTTCGCTGCTTGGACTGTTGCTGCAAGACATTTCTGTATCCTTAAATTAACTAAAATGCTTTCTTCTGAATTGGAATTGTTTGGATATACTTAATAGTATTTCTGTTTGAAAGCTAGGAGGTTTGTAGAAGTTATAACCTATTAAAATTTTGCTTCTTGGCCTCCTTTTCCTAGGAATTGCCTGATAGAGCCATTGCCAGAGACTGCCAGTCTTCATCTAGCACATATTACCCTAAGGGCATTGATAGAAATTCTTAGTCGTAGAAGCTAAATAGCGAGAGCTCTATTTTTTTTTAAAGTTTCCATGACTGAAATAGAACATGTTTAAAGCTGAATTTCTTCAAGAAAATTCTATTACTAATCTGTTTCTTTCATAAATATAATTTATAAAACCCAAATTACTTTGGTTTTGTTTTCCAACTTTAACTTGATTCTCCAGCTTGACTGTGAAACATCTGGGTTTGCAAGAATTCATTATTTTAAACCTTGTGATGGTTGGGCTGGTGAGCAGATTATGGTATGTATGTATGTACAGACCTTTGAAATAATTTTTTTCATCTAACTCAGCCTAGGTTTTCATATTTGTTTTCCCATGGGATGTTAATGGTGCAGGGGTTCCATTTCTTCACTTGATCAGAGTTTATTTGGGGTGGATTGGGAGCCTACGTGTTTGGTCAGGTCTTTGATGTCTTAACCTGGGTTTCTCAAGTACTATTTCCAATCTTCTTGTTTATTCTGCTTATTCTTAGAGGTAACGACATTAGAATTACCAATAGCTAACATATTATTCTTTTCTGTAATAAGAACAGCTTTAATTTTTACTGATTATAATAATACATGCTTTATTCTTTTCTGTAATAAAGACAGCTTTAATTTTTACTGATTATAATAATATACATGCTTTATTTAGACACATTCCAAAAGAATAGAGAAGATATGAAGAACCTGAAATTTGCCTAAAATCTCCACCACCTAGCTAAAACCATACATAAGATGTTGATGCATATCCTTTGAGACATCTTTCCATTTAGTACTTTATTTAGTTTTAAGTGATTTTTTTTTTTTTTTTTTCTGTTTGGGCTAGACTAATCTGACTCTGCAAATATGTGCTGGAGCCTTTTTTTTTTTTTTTAAGCTATAGTGGCAGACTGATACTCATTTATTTTCAGCTTTGAATCTGTTGTAGTTATTACATAATTTGCAAATTATAATTACTGGCTAATTCATGACTTCCTATGTTTTTTCCTAGGGTTCTCTATAAAGGTATTTTGAAAAGGCTGACCTCTTTATATGAGCCATTGTTCATATTGCTTCAGGAGGTCTCTAGGATTCAACCACTGCCTTACTTCAAAGATTTTACCTTTCCTTCTGATATTGCTGAATTTTTAGGACAGCCCTATTTTGAAATCTGTAAGAAAAAAATGCCTACAGCTTTTGCAGCTAAAGGAGTAACTAAATTGTTAAATAAACTGTTTTTAACAAAAGAGCAATCACTGATGTCTAACAAAGAAACTGCGCTCAGAATTTCCAAAAAAGCTAAAGAAATGAGGATCAGTACACAGAATACTGTGGATCTTGGGCAGCCAATAAAGAATAAGAAAATCATCAAAGGTAATTTGCTTTGATATAACACATACTCCTAAAATTCTCTTTATTTCTTTTGTAGTAATTTGGCAAGAAATATCATATACTTAAGAATTCATTGATTTGAAATAGTTTGCCTAAGCTTTTGTATCTGTGGTCTCTCTATCTCTGCAGAAAAGTCATCAGAATTTGACGTGAGAGTTTTCTGCAAACAGCTGAAACACAAAGCTATGCAGGTTTGTCTGGCTTATAATTACTATGTCTTATGAGTTCTGCTAATTTGTAGAGTAGATGCCACTTAACCAAGGGCAGAGATCGAATCTTTGTTTTTATCCCCAGCTCTTAGCTTAGTGCTATTATAGTTCCCAGCCTATGCTTCTGAATGAATAGAAGTACTCCCAGGGGTCTAAAATCAGGTTATAGAATGCCTTTAAAAACATTCTATTCAGAGTTCACTAGAATTTTAAAGTGTCCCTAGGATCCATTATAGGTGTGGAATATATTAAGAGAATAAGCTTTGGGGGCACCTGGGTGGCTGTTAGTCAAGCATCTCACTCTTGATTTTAGCTTAGGTCAAGATCTAGGGGTCCTGGGATCAAGCCCTGGGAGTTGCACTCTGTGCTCAGTATGAAGTCTGCTTGTCCCTCTCCCTCCTCCTCTGCTCCTGCCCTGCTCATGCTCTCTTTCTTTAATAAATGAATAGAATTAAAAAAAAAAAAAAGTATTAGCTTTGTGGTCAGACAGAAATGGTTTTAGTCCTGGCTTTGGTTGTGACCTTATGTAAGTTTCTTGACCTGCCCACACCTCTTTTTTCTAATATAGCATGCACCTATATAGCATGCACCTCATAGGGTTATGTAGTTTTAATGCATGTAAAGTGTTCAGCAAAGAGACTGGAGTATGGTAAGCTCTTAACTGATGTTAGATGTTATTAGCTACTGTCATCATTGTTACTGTCATCCTCATTTTTTGTCATGAGGTTTCTCTTTCCCAGTTTAAGCTTTAACATGATTCCTCTTAGCGTCTGTCACCCTCTTTCATGTGGTAACTACTTGACTTCTGTTACCATTTGTCCTTCTCAGATTGTTTTCTACTGGTTTTCTGCATGGATTATTTCTTTTTTCCTATTTAAGAACTCTTAATCATTTCTGATAAGTCAGAGTACTTTCTTGAATGTTTACAAGGTGTCTAGTTTAGATTTATATTCTGTCCAATATATGAGTTCCATCACCATCATGAAATTTAATACTAATACATATATTGCATTTACTCTTGAAATGCTTTGCTTGTATTATAAGTTCCTACAATACTTGCAAAAGCCTTGTAAGGTTGTTACTGTTATTATTGTTTCCATGTTTCAGGTGAGAAAATCGAGGCCTGGATAGGACAAGAAACTTGCTCAGGCATACCACAAATACGGGGCAGAGTTGGGATTTGAACGAAGGCAGTTTGGGTTCACAGTCTTTGTTCTTTACCATTATATCAGTCCCCCAAATCGTTTTCTCAACTCTGTCTCTAGAACTATGGCTCTCTGATCCTTGAAAGTTCTGCAGTCCCATCCAGCTGTTCCTGGGTGAGCTGGTTGTGAAGCAGTTTGGTTGGTCAGCAGCCCCTATTCATGACTAGTCACTACCACAGTTTGAGCAATTAGCACTAACAGGCTCAGCTTCCTTTTAAGGTCAGATTTCTTTTTATCAAGTTAGCAGCACACAATATTGATAGGTCTCTACTTTTATATTTTCTATTTTTTTTTTTTAAAGATTTTATTTATTCATGAGAGACAGAGAGGCAGAGAGAGACACAGGCAGAGGGAGAAGCAGGCTCTATGCAAGGAGCCCGACGTGGGACTCGATCCCAGGTCCTCAGGATCATGCCTTGGGCCGAAGGCGGTGCTAAACCGCTGAGGCACCTAGGCTGCCCAATATTTTCTACTTTTTATGTTTTTCTTGAGAGTCAGAAATTTGGAACAAGTTTTTAATGAAAGATAAAAGCAGACCTAGTAAGTGGCACATTTTCACAAACAACAAAAGCTGGTACAATTCAAACTTTACTTGACAGAGGGGGTTGAAAAGACAAAGGTGCCACATCAAACGATGGCTGAATTGGAAGTGTTGCTCAGTTAAGCACTTTTAACGTACATTCAGCATCATTCCTGTCTTAGTGTGTTTTCAGTAACATTTATGACTCATCATTGAGGAGTAACTCAGGGTATAGAAGTAAGTGACAAACAAATTTGTGGTAGTGTATTAGTATCAAGGAAAAGGGCTCTTCAGAGATTATTTTTCCTACCAGATGGGCTTGGACCAATATTTATTCATGTAGAGTTTCATTCTTATGTATAGGTTAAATAGATATGTTAGAATATTTATATTTTCTGTCGGAATTCAGTTATAGATAGGACCTTTGCTGCACAGAGGGGAAAAAATCTTGTGTTAGGAGTGATGGATAAAAAATTAAGATTTTTAAGACAAAGGAAAGCACAGTGAGCTTTAAGTTCTCCTTCTTTTAAAAAGACATTTTCTAATTTTCATAGTTAACTTTGATCTGTTGTTATATATTTACAAGTCAGTAGCAAATCCAATATACTTTTCTCACCTTTCCATATTTCAGGAAACTAAATGTTCTCAGTCCAAACTAAAGGCAACCAAACATTCTCCTCAGAAAGCAACAGGAACTCCCAGTGCCAAAAGTTTTGTGCAAAGATTTCGAGAGGCTGAGACTTTCATTCAACTTTCTGAAGAAATCCAAACAGCGATTTTATGGTGCAGGAGCAAAAAACTCAAGGCTCAGGCCTCCTTTCTGGGTAACAAACTTCTTAAAAGTAACCGGCTTAAACATGTGGAAGCTCAAGGCTATAGGTAGGTATATACTAAAAATTATATTCCTTTACTTTTTCTGTTGTTACTTAGGGCAAAAGTTTATATATTCAAGTCAACTTTTTAAAAAATGGAATGTCCAGTAGCCCTAGGGGGGCTAAGAGAAGGATCTATTCAAACTGCAATTTTGTTTGCTTTTGTTGGGTACTGCTGTATCATTGGGAGGAAGAAAGTTAACTTGGTTAATTGGATGTATTCACTTATATTCTTCACCATTCCATGTGTTCATTCAGAAAGCCTTAGGAGTGTCTATGGCATGCTAAGCCTGGGGATAGGTTGTGTAAGACAGATTTAATCCTCATGGAGCACTAGCTCTAGTTCTCACTCTAGTAGGAGACAGCCAGTCTGCCCACCTCGTGCAGCAGGATGAGGGTGTGAGAGAAGTGTCTGCCTCTTACAAGGACACACACCAGACTCTGGGTTTTGGGTCAGGCAGTGTTCATTCATGGGTGCCCAATTCTCCATATATTGATTTCTCCCTTTTCCTGATTTAGATTCGTAGAACTGCTTAAGGATGTGAGCCAGTATTACTTGAAACATAACAATGAAGTTATGAATGAATTGTTGGAACTATTTCTACATTAGAGTCATTTAAAGATCTGTAGCATCTAAAAAGGATCTATTCTAGGGTGAAAACTCAGCCTGAGATGGAGAAGGGGTAGATGAGATACAGATAATATATTTTAAGAGTTAATGAGAATGGTAACAAAGTGGTATTTGTTAAACCTTATTCCCTGCCCCACAAAAATACTGTTCTTTAGTACTGCCCTGCTGCTTCAGTATGTTATATATTACAGTACATTTTAAATTTACTTAATGTCCATGATAACTCTGTGAAGTAGGCAGTATTACTCCCATTTTGTAGCTGAGGACATAGGGGATTTTTCTCAGATTGTTAACAGCTGGAGATCTAGAACTCAATTCAGATCCTCTGATTCTTCCGTTTTTGTTTTTCTTCTATCTCCATTTCAGTTAGGAAGTACGCTTACCCTCTTCCCCACTTAAAAATCGTCACTTACAGTAAGACAAGAAGTGTTTAGAAACTGATCCTCCTGAACTACTACATTATAAAGAGCTTCCTCAAAGTTACATATTTATTTAAAAAGGAAAAAGGGGAGGGTGACAGGGTATAAGTTACAGACCCATGCTAATCTTTTGAAATCTATCACAGTGAGGCAGTTAGCAAGGCACTGGTGTACCTTGTCACCATACCTTATTCAGAAGCAAAACACCTGAACTAATCAGCTATTTGAATTCTGAATTCCCCAACTTGAAGACGACGTATGAGTCACAATTAGGGTAGCCCAAGGTGTAGGTGGTCTATGTCAGCAGCTCTGTCTTCTCATTCTTAGATAAACTCCCTCCTCCACTTTTATTCCTTTCCACTTGTTATTTCTCAGCTACAATATGAAGTTGTTTATCCAGAAACGCATTACTGCATCCAGGCAGATTGTTCTATTTGTGATACATCCTTTCCCCAGCTCCACTATTACACTATGAACTTTAGCAGTTATCAAGGAAAAGCTCTGACACTGAAGTAAGGGGGAAATCTCACCATTCAGCTGTCTTGGTAGGCAGTTGTAGGAGCTACTTTATGTTGGGAACATAATGGGGGCATACTTGGCTACACCCTGAATCAACAGGGAAGCTCTGCTCTGAAAACACAGATTTGGGTTGAAGCTCCTATTTTCATATTTTTTGTGATGATTCTGGGGTTGTACACTTGTAGGCATAGGACTTGTAGATAAATTATGTACTTTTCTTTTGGGAGTTGGTAAAATAGAGACAAAAGTTTTTGAAAATGTTTTTCTATGTCTTAATCCCAGATTTTTCCTTTCTCTTGCTGTCTTTTAAAGTTTGCCAAAGAAATTAGAATGCATAAAAACATCTATTTGCAACTGCCTTCTTCGTGGCTCAGGAATCAAAACTTCAGAGCGTCTTGTGAGACGAAGAAGATCTCAGAATAGATTTTTACTGGGACAGAAGAAACCGCAGAGAAAGTTGCAATTGACTCTTTCAAAAGAAATTCAGCAGTCCCCTCAAGGGACTCAGAATGCTACAGATAGCAGTAAATGGAGACTCTCGCACTGTACAGTTCATAGAACTGATCTCTACCCTAATAGTAAGCAACTCTTGAGTAGCAGAGTTTCAGACCCTGTCATACAAACTAAAGAGAAACAAATTCATGAAAACCTTATAGGAAGCAATAAAAATGAAACTGATTCATGGAAAATGATGCAAATGGACAAACATGATACATCAGGAACCATTAAGGAGACAGATGACATTGATGATATTTTTGCTTTAATGGGAGTTTAGATGCTCAAATATGAGTGCTCGCATTTAAGTGCTTAACAAACTGGTCCAGTTTTCTGCTATTTTACGTGAAACTACTAAAAAAAAAGTCTGCAAGGACTTGGAAGTGCTAAGAGGTACTCAGAGAGGAGCTGCTTTAGTATAACATTGTACAGCAGTTCATTTCCATTCAATAAACGTTTATAGTAACTGTCATTTAACTGACAAGTATTTGACTATTAGTCAAATTTTGACTTTTAACTTTGTACCAGGGGTTAAGATGAAGAAACTACCATATCCTGTCTTTGAGAAGCAGATATAATTCCTTGATTAAAGCTGGTGGATCCCTGGAACAACAGAATTAAGAACTGAGTGAATAGGTTTATAAAAACCTACTCTGTGCCTTCAGGTATATGGGAAGTTGAGTGGGGTGGGAAATATCAAGGAGTGCTTAAAAGGTCACTTTGGTCTTACTGGCTCCGTTTGTAGGTAAAGTAAATCCACTGCTGAACACCGTTTGTAGCTTCCAATGCCTGTGCTATCTTGATTACATATTAGAATCCATCATCACAAGGGACTAAAAATTTTGCCACTAACTGTATTATCAGGGAGACTGGTCATGCCATTAGTTTACTTCATTTGTTCACTTTATCTCACAGGAGGGTATCTCACAGGAGAACTTACGGAGTTCTCCAAAAGTTTTTGGCTTGTTTTGTTTTGTTTTGTTTTTGGTTTATTTATTTGGGTGCTAGTGACAGATTCTAAATAAACTTTTTTCAAAAAGGATGTAATGTGACATGTGGTTATTATACCTGAAATACAACAGGAAAACAAAGTAGAAATAGATGAGAAAGTCAAATGAAAAAATAAAACTTAGCTGACACAAAATAGACCCAGGAGTGAGGTCACACATAAATTTATAATTTAGTGCTGATGCTGTCATCTGACATTTGTATACTGTTAGCACTGTTGCTCAGGGCAAATCGTATGTATTTTTGAATGGTCTAGTTTACTAGAATTAGGTCAGTAAGCTATTTGTTAAGAAGTCTGTAGCCTTAAGTTTTATCTTACATGTAGATTTATAGAAAAATAAAACAGTGCCTGGTATGTACAACATCTTTCTTTTCCTTGGCCACCATCACTCTGTTTCCTTTCCGTTCTTTATTTGGCCTATTCTTTGTGTACATTTTCCTGCTTGTCTATACTAGTGGTTCTCATACATTGTGCTGTTTTGAGAATCACTTGGTGGGTTGTTTAAAAATGCAGAAACCTTTCTGAAGAGACTGATAAACACAGCCAGGGGATGACAGAAGCCTGCATGACCTCATGACCCTGAGATCTAAACCCAAGCTGGAAAAAAAAAAAAAAATAAACCCAAGCTGGGATCAAGAGTCAGACTCCCAACTGACTGAGCTACCCAGGTGCCCAGAAGCCTGCATTTTTAACAAGGAGCTTAGATGATTTTGATGCAAGTAGCCTGCGAAGCAGAGTTAAACACTGCTTCAGCTTCTTTCTTTCCTGAAGCCTTGCTAAACATCTTGATTTACTTCAAAGTCCTTAATTTCTAGTCACTTTTCATTGTTTATATTTTTCCTGTCTTCCTACCAAGTGGTAGAAGCTACTTGGTGCCTTAAAACATAGATAATACTAAGGAGATCTCATGACCAGTCTAGAAATAACCATCAGCTTCTACGAGTCTAAGATTTAAGGTCCAATCTTGTTTCTGCTTTTATTTGCATATGACTCCAGAGTTAGGTTCCCTCGGCTTAGACTGCTTCATGTGAAGTGGCATTATAGTTCAAGGATCATAAACTCTGACAGCTGAAAGAGACTTTGGAGATTATCCCTCAGTGGAAAAACCAGTGTTCAGTAAATTGTCTAAGGAGGTAAAACTATAAAGCCTGGATTGGACTATAGGCCTAACACTTTCTTGTACTTCATTAATGTTCCTTTGGAGTAAATTTCTTCATCTCCTCCTTCTCCTCTACTCTAGATCAGTTAATCTTTCCAAACAACTTAGAATTCTAATGTTTTAAATTTTAAAAAGTGAAATCTGTGATATCCAAATCATGTATTAGTAGTAAATTAGATTAGAAACTTCTGTTAGTGGGGCACCTGGGTAGCTCAGTTAAGCATCCAACTCTTGATTTCAGCTCAGGTCAGGATCTCAGGGTTGTGAGATTGAGTCGCATGTTGGGCTCTGTGATGGGTATGGAACCTGCTTAAGATTCTCTTTATCCCTTTCCCTCTGTTCCTCACCCCACACCCCGGCCCCTCCAAGAAAACTCCTGTTAGTGTGTCATCACAGTGAATACAGATTTTCCTGCCCTGGTAGCATTAAAACACTCCTCTCATTCGTAAGGCTGAGGCCTCCCATTCCAAATCCACTTAGCTTTTTTACTTCAGCCACTGCTGTGCCAACCAGTTTCCAGCAGGAGTGGACAACTGCACTTTGCCTTCTGTTCCAGAGACCCCTCACTTCCTGCTCCTTCTGACAAGTTGCAAGAACTACTTGGCACTTAGGCATGCACAAACTGGAAGAAGTGGGGGAAGGCCACTTCAAAGACAACTCAGAGGCACATTTCCTAAGGCTCCTCTTCTAGAAGGTCCCTCAAGATCAAGACTAGTACTTATGTGATGTCCGACTCCTCCATCCTTGATTGACTCTCCTTTCTTCTGTTTCCTTTCTTCATCACTCCTGTTCCCTGGAATCACTTCCCAAATAAATGACTGAATGCAAACTTTTGTCTTGGACTCTGCTTTTAGGAGAACCAAGGCTAAGACGAGCAGTAAAGTAACACTGGCAGGCAAAATGATGACTTCTAAGATCATTCTACTGTTACCATATATTTTACTTTGTGAATACCTAAAGTGTTTGTTTGTTTGAGCTTAAAACACTGCTGGTTAGAACAGACCAGTGCTATCAACTATGAAAATATATTCATAATTGAATTTCCCTAAAAAGCCCCAGTTGTTTTACAGCCTTAAGGTTTTATCTGGGGCTACTGCAATAATCTTTTAATATTCACTCTCACTTTGAAAAGCTAAGCCACTTACTTACATGAATAGGTCAGTAGCATCTTCATAAAAATCTTTTCTGTTAACTTTAGCTCAAAGGAAGGCTTTATCTTTCCATTCTGAATCTTACTGTACCAATTCTAAATAGGCCGATCGACTTTTTTCTCGCCTTTTGCAAATACCAGTTTTCTCAAAAAAACTAGTTTTTGGTTTTTGTCTTTCACTAAAGAAAATGTTTTCTCCTCTATGACAGGAGGTTTTCTGTGATAAATCTGAGGTTTGCTGTTTCTTGGATTGGTTTCACTTTATAAATCTGTAAACAGATATCCTTTACACATATAATACCATTTTAATCTCTATAGCTTTGCAAATTATAAATGAAGGGCAGAGAAATCAAGTAATCTGCCCAAGGCCCAACATAATAAATATTAGAACTGAAACTTAAATTCTGGTCTTCTGATTCTGAATCCTGTGTTCACCTGAAGGTGAATGACTCCAGCCTCATCATGGACTGACTGAAATTTTATCAAGAATATTATTTTATTTTCAAGTAAGGACTCAGAAAAAAGATAAATTAAGGCACTGAGAGGAGCATTTCTCTTCCATCTCCCTATAAGTGCTTAACAGAAAAGTAACCCCTTTATTAACTACTCCATTTTAATACTTAAATATACATAATAAACACTGTCTTTAAAAGGCAAAAGCCCAATAAAAACACAGCAAACCATTCTCTAGGTAGCACTAAATAGGTTTCATATTATGGATTTCTATATGCTCTTGTTTGCCAGTTTGTTACAATAGGAACATTGCTAAAATAGGAACTGTTAAAATAAAACAGTATCTGTCCTAATGAATAGCATAATTTATTATTTATAAACTTCTTTTTCCCAGCACAAATTCATTCTTGGTTTGGGAAGATGCAGGTTTATTTATTTATTTATTTATTTGACTTCATTTATTTATTCATGAGACACACACAGAGAGAAAGAGAGAGAGAGAGAGAGGCAGAAATACAGGCAGAGAGAGAAGCAGGCTCCATGCAGAGAGCCCGATGCGGGACTCGATCCTGGGTATCCAGGATCAGGCCCTGGGCCAAAGGCGGCGCTAAACCGCTAAGCCACCCGGGCTGCCCAAGATGCAGGTTTTAAAGCTAAAATGATCCTTCTGCAAATTAATAGGTACACAACATTTAAAACAATGCTGAAATTCTAGGTGTTCAACTCTAGTTGGCATAAAGGATTTTGAATCTTCAGCTAAATTAGAGGCCATCAGTCTTAAGATTTCCTGTTATATTTGCAATAAAGCATCTCAACAGATGGATTCCAGAATAGGTCACAGAACTGTGAAAAGAAAAGAAAAATTTTCTTCTTTACTTCAGATGTAGTAATGTATCTGAATTCATCTAACTTAAAAACTCTTTTAAAACTCTTGAGTTTCATATATGAAACAGAATGTCTTAATTTTTCCTCTCTTCTGCCAGCCTCTTCTATTTTAAAAATGATGATTCATATTCTCAGAATCCTAAAAATTTCACCTTATCCACCAATTTGCCTTTTATTAACCAGACTAAATTTTTTATTTTTGAGGTATAATTGACACATTAGCTTCAGTTGTATAACATAATGATTAGATACTCGTATATATTGTGAAAAGGTTGCAGTAAGTCTAGTTAACATCTGTCATCAGGCATAATTATAATTTTTCTTTTTCTTACGATGAGGACTTTTAAGATTTGCTCTCAGCAACTTTCAAATATGCAATACAGTATGATAGTCACCATGTTGTACATTACATCTCAACGAATTATTTTGTAACTGGAAATTTTTACCTTTTGGTCCCCTTCCTTGTATCCCCTATCCTCCATCCTCCACCTCTGACAACCACCCATCTCTTTATCTATGATTTTGCTTTTTTGTTGTTTCCCAAATTCCACATATAAGTGAGATCATATGGTATTTGTCTTTCTCTGCCTGACTTACTTCACTTAGTATAATCCCCTCAAAATCCACCAATGTTGTCACAAATGGCAAGACTTCATTCTTTTCTATGGCTGAATTGTATTCCATTGTATATACATAAACACTACACTTTCTTTGTCCATTCATCTATCAATGGACAGGCTGTTTGGTATCTTGGCTATTGTAAACAATGTTGCAGTGAATGTGGGGGTGCATATATCTTTTTTCTTTCTTTTTTTTTTTATAAAGGAGTTAGAATATTCTTTTTTTTTTAATTTTTATTTATTTATGATAGTCACACAGGGAGAGAGAGAGAGAGGCAGAGACATAGGCAGAGGGAGAAGCAGGCTCCATGCACCGGGAGCCTGACGTGGGATTCGATCCCGGGTCTCCAGGATCGCGCCCTGGGCCAAAGGCAGGCGCCAAACCGCTGTGCCACCCAGGGATCCCTGCATATATCTTTTCAATCAGTGTTCTTGTTTTCTTTGGATAAATACCTATAAGTGGTATTTTTGGATCATATGGTAATTCTCTTTTTAATATTTAAAGGAACCTCATATTGTTTCCCATAGTGTCTGCAGTGATTTCACTCTTAACAGTGCACAAGGTTTCCCTTTTCTCTACATTCTCACCAATGCTTATTATTTGTTTTTTGTTTTTTTCCTTTTTGATAATAGCCATTCCAGTAGGTGTGAGGTGGTATCTCATTGCAGTTTTGATTTGCATTTCCTTGATGGTTAGTGATGCTAAGCATCTTTTCATATTTTCATCTTCTCCTGTTGGTCATATGTCTGCTTTCTTTGGAAAAATATCTTCAAATCCTCTGCCTATTTTTTTATTTTTATTTTTTTGCTATTGAGTTATAGGAGTTATGTAATAAGCCCCTTATCAGATATATGATTTGCAAATTCTTTCAGTAGGTTGCCTTTTCCTTTTGCTGATGGTTTCCTTTGCTGTGCAGGAGCTTTTTTACAGTTCAGTGTAGTCCCTTGTGTTTATTTTTGCTATTGTTGCCTTTGCTTTTGGTGTCAAATCAAAAAATCATTGCCAAGTCTGATGTTAAGTGTGTAGGTTTTCTTCTAGAAGTTTTATGGTTTCCGGCCTATTTTGAGTTAATTTTTGAGTATAATATAAGACTGTAATCGAAGTTTCATTCTTTTGCCGACACCATTTACTGACATTGCCCTTGTCCCACTGTATATCTTGGCTTCTTTGTCATAGTGACCATATATGTGTGGGATTATTGGTGGGCTGTTCTGTTCCACTGATCTATGTATCTTTTTTGTATGCCAGTACTACTTTTTTGATTACTGTAGCTTTATAATATAGTTTGAAATCAGGGAACATGATACCTTCAGCTTTGTTCTTTCTCAAGATTGCTTTGGCTATTTGTGGTTCCATACAAATTTTAAGATTGTTCTATTTCTGTGAAAATGTCATTGGAATATCTTCTATTTTGCCTTTTATTTCCCAGACTAAAAGTTTTGATCTTTTTAGTTAGTTTTTTTTTTTTTTGTGACAAAGACTCAACAATCTTAATACTTTAGACCTTTTGTTATTTTTAAAAATTATCACCATTATTGGTGTCTATTATTGTCTACTCATCTTACTATATCCATCTATATGCATCCATCCATTTGACAGCTGGAAGTGACCACATGGTTTCTTGGGATACATGGACTTTTTTGAATACACTATGACTTTTATGGATATAGGAAATGGTATATACCTGTATATAAAACAAGTAAAATATTTTCTCCTGTACTCCTGATTCCCTTCTTGATAAAATACAGCATTTTAAGCTTTTTGACCAAAGCTGTCTGCTTGAGAACAGCCCATAATGATTTCTGGGTTATAAGTGAAGTTTAGCATTTAAACTTTTGCCTATAGCCTTAAAGGCCAACATTTGCTGGACTGTACTTCCACCTTTCTCCTACAAGGATCAAATAAGAAGAGAAGGAAATAAAACCTGACATATTTTATAATAATTATTTCGTGAACAGGCCAAACTTCTTTCTGGAGGGATGGACTAGGACTTGGTCATGAGCATAAAACCAAGGAATGTGTTTAACTATTTTCTGAATTGGGTTTTGAGAGCTACAGAGTATAGCCTGCCAAATTCCTGTATGTGGTCCCTATGGCAAAGTGAATGCTGAAGTTCTTGAAAGTCACCAGGCTTCTACACCTCGGGTCTTAGACTTGTATGGCTTCTGCAGTACTTTGGTCACTTATGGTGAGTACAGAGGCAGCAGTGATTCCAGGACCATACAGCAGAGAATGCTGACATATCTAAAGAAAGGATTATCTCTAAAAAGTACTGAGAATCTCATAATCTGGGTTGTTGGCCTAACCATGCTACTTACTGACTGATTTTTGGCAAGAAAGGAAATTAACATTTATTATATGGCTGTGTGTACATCAGTCACAATACATTTTATTATTCTTCTAACAATCATATTTTTACTAGGGAGAAAACAGACTCAGAAAATGAAGTAAGTTGCTTTAAAATCTATAGCCAAGAAGTAAAGATTTATTTATCCATGAGAGACACACAGAGAGAGAGGCAGAGACATAGGCAGAGGGAGAAGCAGGCTCCATGCAGGAAGCCCAATGCAGGACTCAATCCTGGATCCTGGAATCAGGCCCTGAGTCAAAGGCAGATGCTCAACCATTGAGCCACCCAGGCTTCCCTGTTCTATTTAAACAAATATCTCTCTGCAACTCACTTCACTTCTTTGACTTACAAACATCCCTAACTAGGCATAGGGATGTTTACCCTGAGGACCAGGTAAGTGTTATGAATGATGTAGTGACGTAACCACCCCAAGACCACTGTTTTCAGATAGCTCAGTTGTTGTTAATGTCCAGCCACAATCCAATCTGACTGGTCTGATGACATATAGCTCAAAGCAGTGTGGAACTACTGTTAGATCATTCCCTTGTTTGGAACACTATAATTCTATTAATGTAGGTCAAGAAAACACTGTCAGTTTTTTCCAGCCTCACTGAACTGTTAATTCATATTCAACTTATAGTCAACTAAAGCTTAATTTTTTTCCAATAAATGCTGCTCTTAAGCCACAATCTGTCCATCTTATGTTTGTGCTGCATTTTTAGTGAAGGTCTCACTTCCTTCTTATTAAATAGTTAAAAGAAACAGCTATTGGGGATCCCTCGGTGGCTCGGCGGTTTGGTGCCTGCCTTTGGCCCAGGGTGCCGTCCTGGGGTCCCGGGATCGAGTCCTGCGTAGGGCTCCTGGTGTGGAGCCTGCTTCTCCCTCTGCCTGTGTCTCTGCCTCTCTCTATGTCTATCATGAATAAATAAATAAAATCTTAGAAAAAAAAAAACAGCTATTGTTCTATGACAATGCTCAGGGCTCTAAGAAGTAGGATTTCACTCCTGCCTGTAGGAATCTCCATTGTACAGATGGGACACAGACAAATGAACAGGATAAATACCTGAATGAAAGTCAAGGGAGAAGAGCATTTTGTAGAAATGAGTGAATGAAGGGTTTTGACAGGCATGTTCATAATTACAAACAATTTAAATATGATCTGGATTGGTAGGACCTTGAATAACTGATGAGGGGACAGTTTCATATAAAACTGTTACTTGGTTTCATTATTTCTCATAGCAAATACTATAGTGCCTTCCATAAAGAAGTTAGAGTAAGAAAATCATATGGAAATGGTACTGTATCTTTGCTCTAGTACAAGGCACTTACTACATCCAAGGTATATGCTCAAAGTACAAACTCATGTTTCATCACTAAACTATATCAAATATCTCAAAATTGCCAGCTCGAGAAATAACCATTCTGTCTGCTACCAATGCTTAATTCTAACTTACGTGAAGCATTTCTTTTTAAAGAAAATTTTTTATCCCTCACAGCCTGGAGAAGGTTTCTTTCATAAAAATAATGAATTTTTTTTTTGTTTGTTTTTGAAGGTGAGAAAAGCATGGTAGTATCTTTATTGTGGCTATTGTTTAGCTGATTTTAAAAAGTAAAAAAAAATAAAATAAAATAAAAAGTAAAAAGTTTGGGCAGCCCGGGTGGCTCGTGGTTTTTAGAGCCGCCTTTAGCCCAGGGCGTGATCCTGGAGACCAGGATCCAGTCCCACATCAGGCTCCATGCATGGGGCCTGCTTCTCCCTCTGCCTGTGTCTTTGCCTCGCTTTGTGTGTGTGTCTCATGAATGAATAAGTAAAATCTTAAAAAAAAAAAGTAAAAAGTTTTCACTTCTGCTGTGGTCTAGGGTTGAGCTAGGCTGAGGCAGAAAGAGAAGGAAGATACCTACAAGGAAGATCCAGCAAAAGCCTGCAGAAAGCAGACAAAATAGAGGGAAGAAAAAATAAAAGTGCTGGTGGGTTGTACCAATAAATCATGGCTATGTGTGTAGTCTTCCAAACTCCTCTTATTTTAAGTGATACCTCAATCAAAGAAACGCTATATAATATATAACAAATACAAACTAAGAAACACTATATATATATTTATATGTTTTATATGTATTTATATATGTTTTTTTATATATATGTATCAAACACAAAGGATGTTAGTTACAAAATAATTCAAGTCTTACCTTACAGGAAACAACTGAGGAAAACATCCTTGTGTTTCACTCTCAACAAATTTTTGGATCTGAAGCACTTGTTTTAAAAGATGCCCCTTGGAAGATTTGTCAATTTTTGTTAATACCATCTGTAAGAAAACAAATATTTAAGCATTGGAAATAAAGATCTTATTAATATACAGTTTTACACACTTTAGCTACAATTTTTAAAAAAGATTTATTTATTTATTCTAGAGAGAGAATGAGGGCACAAGAGGAAGGGCAGGGGGAGGGAAAGAGAAACCTTTGCTGACTCTGGCTGAGCACAGAGTCCCATGCAGGGCTCAATTCCACAACCCCAAGATCACAACCTGAGCCAAAAACAAGAATTGGACACTTAACCAACTACACCACCCAGGCATCCCTAGCTACAAATGTTTAATAACAATTAGGTGACCTTTGTAAGTTTCTTAATCTCTCTATACTTATGTTTTCATCTATAAAAGTGACACCCCCAAAAGGAGTTACCATGAGGATTAAATGAGTTAATGCATGCAATGTATAAAGCATATATGATGTGTTTGCTGTTTAATGGTGCTTTAAATACACAGAGCCATAATATCTTGGATTCAATACCAGTGAAAAGGACCCTTTAGCCATATTTGCAATTGACATAAAACAAATGTTCCATGCAATCACTATATGTTAACTAAGATACATAGTATTATTGGGTTGATCCATATAAAACTGCCAACTTACAATCATTTTTGACCAGGAAATAGTTCTGCCTTAAATGTAATAATATAATGGAAAACTAGAAATCAGGCTATTTGTATCTTATATCCACTAAAATTATAGGAATGATTACAAAATCAATTAAAAAGTAAAACTTTGATCTATCAATTTTCCTGGGGAATTTCTATAAAATTAAATTTCCTGAAATAATAACCTATGCTTTTCAGTTATAGAAAATGTTAATGGGGGATCCCTGGGTGGCGCAGCGGTTTGGCGCCTGCCTTTGGCCCAGGGCGCGATCCTGGATACCCGGGATCGAATCCCACATCAGGCTCCCGGTACATGGAGCCTGCTTCTCCCTCTGCCTGTGTCTCTGCCTCTCTCTCTCTCTCTCTGTGACTATCATAAATAAATAAAAAAAAAAAAAAAAAAAAGAAAAACTTAAAAAAAAAAGAAAATGTTAATGGCAAAAGGAGTGAGAGGCAGAAAGTCTGTGGTATTTATTTATTTATTTATTTATTTATTTATTTATTTATTTAGTCTGTGGTTTCTAATGACTTGTGAGTCCCTCCAATTGGGAATCTTTCCTCATAAGAGCAAATATGCTGATATTTAAAAGGAGGCATAATTTTTCTATCACAACCTCTTTTCCAAAGAAGAAAGTAATATTTCCTTAAAGTTAAAACTGAGGAAAACATATGATTTCACAAATTGGTATCTATGATACCAAATTAGGAATACTGTATCACTTAATAAAACCAGTTTGGCACTATTGAGTATTTTCTGCTATATGAACTATAATCCAACCTTTGGCTCCTCATACTAATTGTAGTTCTAGCTTTTGCTTCACAGGGTTTTTGCAAATCCCCAAATTCCATAACCACAAGAATACAAAAGTGTTGCTGACTAGCAACACGGTTGGATTTGCATTAAACTTTACTGATACGTTTTAGTGGTCTCCTAACTTTTTTTGAAACCAAGTTATAGTCAATGGGTTCTTCACTTTTCCTTTGGAACTCTGGGGTGCTATTTTATCTGGAGAACTCATGAAGCAAAGAAAAAATAGACACTAACCTACTAAGTTGTCTTTTCTAGGACAAACAACAGAAAAAACAGAGGTACGATATTCCCAGAAGAAATTTTCTTTTCTTAAAGAATGTAAAAATCCTACCTGTGTATGCTGGAGCCAGCTATTTTCTTGAAATGATTCTTAAACTTCAAAAACTAGCAAATTTTTCAGTTGCAATTTCATTGACATTTTGGTTAAGTACTATATGCAAACTGCTGTTAAAAAGCCACTAACATGTTTTAGACAAGTATTTATATTGCCATTAAAAAAAATGAAAGGGAAAAGCACTTCGGAACACTAAATGAACAGTTTAAAAATACTTTGATTATAATTTTGAAAACCTAACGCTGAGAGAAAGAAAAGAAAATAGAAGTACCATAGAACTTACCTATTAAAGGCTGATAAAAAGATTATTCAAAAACTACTCTTGCAGAGGTAAGATCTGCTCTTTCACTAAAGAGAGAGCAGACACACATACACACACAGACTCAAGTGCACACGCATATACACAAACTGGTATTTCCAATAGCAACCATAATTCAAAAGAAATACTTACCACATAAGGTAATGCAAATTCTTCACACATTCCTATGGCAATATTGTCGGTTTTTTGAATTCCAACAACACTATCCACTAACAAAAATGTTCTCATCAAACTATAAGAATGCAGAAATAAAAATTAATGACAATATAAAATATACTCATTCATTTCTCCCCCTGACCCTTACTATCCTAAGAAATTTTTCCTTTGGATAATTTTCACTCCAAAATTTAAAAATTTTTTAGGCAAAAGGAATTCTCGGTTCACCAGAAGTCCATCCTACAATCCAATAAATCTCAATGCTGTTACTTTCAATCACTAAATTTACTAAATATTAATTTATTTCAATAGCAAGTATTGGACCTAAGATCCCCTGCCAAGGACTGGACACAAAGATGAGTGAGTCTCTTCCTTTAGAAGCTTGAACTAGTGGGAGAACAAGACATGACCTCAATTACCTATAAGTTATCACAAAAATGTCTAAATTTTCAAATATTACTTTAAGACTAACAGGTAAGAGAAAACAGACACATTATGTTTTGTATTTTTTTGTGTAAATATTTCATCTTAGTTTCTTTTTTGTTTTGTTTTGTTTTTTCATCTTAGTTTCTATGTAAAGCTATAACCAGCAAGATACTTGCAGATACTTCTTTATACTTCCAAAGTTTAATTGTTTTATATGTTGTGGTAATGCTTGAAACATAGAACTGCCATTTGACTACCTATGGAGACAACAAAAGTAACGTTTATAGATGATGTGGTGTCAGAAGTATTTAAAATAGGGCAGCCCTGGTGGCTCAGGGGTTTAGTGCCGCCTTCAGCCCAGGGTGTGATCCTGGAGACCTGGGATCGAGTCCCACATCAGGCTCCCTGCATGGAGCCTGTTTCTCCCTCTGCCTGTGTCTCTGCCTCTCTCTCTCTCTGATGAATAAATAAATAAAATATTAAAAAAAAAGTATTTAAAATATACTGAGGTTTATTTATTTATTTATTTACTTAAATATACTGAGGTTTTTTTTAAATGTGGTAAATACCACAATATAAGAAAATTAATGAACTCTGCTGAAATACATTTATAGTCTCAATTTAGAAAACCCCTTGAATTTAACATTAAGCTAATCTATAGGAAAAAAATTAAGCAAGCATTATATACCTTGGCCCTAAATATTATATTACAGAATATTATGAGAGTAAAATGTACTTTCTAAAAGAAGTCACTTGATAATGTGAAGTCATAATGTGGAGAATGTTAATGTTCCATTAATGAAAATGTGCTTTTGGATTAAACTTATAAGAAAATTTTTTCCTTACTTCCTTCGTTCTTTTAGATAGGTCTCTACCATGTCAACAAAATCTTCGGGAGCTCTATAGCCATAACCTGGCATGTCCACCAATGTAAAATATTTTCCAACTTTGAAAAAATTCATTTTCTTTGTGTGTCCCTGATAAAATAAATGGAAAAATCAAAGCTTTCTTAAAATATGTCCTTTACATGTTTAATGAGTCAAAATATTTTCTATTCAATCAGCAAATATTTATTAAGAGCCTAAGTGTCCTGAATATAATCCTAGCTGTGTTGATGATGATACAGGAAAAGATAAAAGAGAAGTGGATAAAAGAGAAGTGGCTGGAGATAAGCTTAGATGACACTACTTCTTCCCTCCAATTCATTCTTAAGAGAATCTATATGACTTAAGAAGAGCTTTTGATTAGGAATATGTACCCAAAATATGTTGGGAGTCTTTTCATTAGCTCTCTCTCTCAGTGAAAAGTTACCTTGTAACGGTGTCACGCATTAGTCAGTATTCTCTGATGAATAATATATTTCCACTTTAAAGAGAAATAAATTATGGCACAGATTGGTTAATCTAAAAATACTTACTGCCAGTCATATAGGTTTTCATAAAACCTAGATGAAAAACCTGATAGACTACTGCTTCGTTTTGCACGTTTCATTAGATGGTTTTAGTGCTTTCATTGAATCATTTTTAAAAAGAATGTACAGCACTATAAAATATCTGTTAAACTAAAACGATGTAAAGATGATAAAAAGTCATGGTCTCGTGTCCAATGGCACTATTAATCAGAAAGCAAAAGATTAAGATAAACAATTTAAAAAGTAAATTGTTTGGAATTAGAACAAATATTTTCAGAGGAATGTCAAGAATACATTTCTTCCATTGTCCTCTCAAAGCAGGAAGGGAACCCACCCTACCTAGAAATGAGAGGTTTCATTTCTCTAGAAATGAGAGGTTAGCTGTATTATTTGGTGAGACAGAGAAGGCCTAAGGATAGGAGGTTTAATGAATTATAACAATCATTAGCATCAGCAATGGAGCCAGGGAATCAACTATATGAAGAAATGGGGAGCAAGAGAAGACTAGTGAAGCTTCATGGAAGGGTTCCAATGCAAGGAAAGGGGGGGCAGTAAGCCGTAGGTTAGTGGGAACATTTGCCATGGATAGATAATAAGCTGAGGGGAACTAGGGCTGAGTTTTAAGGACACGGTATCTTAGATATTGGTGGTGTGCATTATTGAGAAAGAGTAAAGGAAATTTAAAAAAGGACAGAAAGCTACTATAGCAAACTGGGTGGGATAATCTCATAATTTGGCCCTGGGTAAACTGAGGTCTACCTAATATATATATGTATATGTGTGCAAGTATCTCTATATCTTATCTATATCTATATATAAAGAGAGAAGGAGTAGGAAAAGGGAGGGAGAAAGGAGTTAGCAAAGTATACAAGATTATAGGAGAAAAAAACCACTTCAAAGCAGTTTCCTCTAAAATCATTCATGTGGGGAATATAAAAAATAGTGACAGGGAATAAAGGGGAAAGGAGAAAAAATAAGTGGGAAATATCAGAAAGGGAGACAGAACATGAAAGACTCCTAACTCTGGGAAATGAACTAGGGGTGGTGGAAGGGGAGGTGGGTGGGGGGTGGGGGTGACTGGGTGGCGGGCACTGAGGTGGGCACTTGACGGGATGAGCACTGGGTGTTATTTTGTATGTTGACAAATTGAACACCAATAAAAAATAAATTTATTATTAATAAAAAATAAAATAAAATCAGCGTGGAACTAGATGATCATTCTTAAAGAAATACAGAATGGCAACAGAACACTTAATCTGGCAACTCTTTTGAAAAGATTTGGACAAAAGATTTCCTCAAGAAACTGGCAAGACAACTAAAATCCAGACATACTTCCTTTTTCTTCAGGGAAATATACAGGCATTAATAAAATGTCTCACTTTACTACTTGTTTGAAAGAAATCATTGTTCTAGGAACTTAACAAGTATGATTGCTTGTAACTCTCAACATTAGTCACTTTAGTCATTTCAGAGATAGTTCAGACATGTTTTAATTTCAGTATGCTATTTCTTTTATATCTCACCTCCCCAAGCTTTTCCTTCAACATACCGGTTTTTTGGAGACTCTGACATCGACGTCTGGGGCCAGTGAAAATAAGGCTTTTATTAGAGAGGATTTTCCAACATTGCTTCTGCCTATAAAACATACCTTATACAAGGAAAAAGAAGATAACTGAATACTAGGTATATATATTCATTTTTGTTATATGTTGTATTAGCTGCAAAAATTAGCTGTCAAACTAATGTCTTGCCTAGCCATGTAGAAAGGTGGTTTATGTTTAGTCAAACCTCAAATTCTAACATATAGCTACTATCTACTGAATGATTCCCAGTGCCACGTACTGTTCAAAGCACTTAATGTAAATTTTCTTATCTAGGGACACCTGGGTAGCTCAGTGGTTGACGATCTGCCCTCAGCTCAGGTAGTGATCCTGGGGTCCTGGGATCGAGTCCCACATCGAGCTCCCCACAGGGATCCTGCTTCTCCCTCTGCTGTCTCTCATGAATAAATAAATAAAATCTTAAAAAAATGTTTTCTTACCTATTTTTACAGTATCTCTATAAGGTAGGTAATACTATTATCCCCATTTTACAAATGATAAAACTAGAGACAGAGAGAGGCTAAAAAAGCGGCCCAAAATTATATAGCTAGAAAGGGAAGAAGTGGGAATTTAAACTTGGAACATCTATATCCAGAACCTGTGCCTTGAATTACATTATGCTACTCAAGAATATCTGGGACATTTATTAAGCATTCCATATTTACAAAGCTTTTTGAAGTTAAAAACTAGATGCACTCCGACAAAACTTATTCTCAAGTACAACTACAAGTCTGAAACTGCTGGGAAACTGATTTTTCCCTAAAAAAAAATCCCAGAGTAGACTGTAACACCACTGTATTTATAGGTTATTCCTGCCCCTTGACCTCTCACTCCAATTAAGGTTTTCTCCTTTAGACTTCTATAGCCTAGAAAGGAACATAATGTTCCTGATACTAACCATTAATATACATGACCCTGCTTTTTAACATGGTATTGAAGGAGGTACAATACCAACCAGTTTTTTTGTTTTTTTTTTTTAAGATTTATTTCATGAGAGACACAAAGAGAAAGAGAGAAAGAGAAAGAGAGAGAGAGAGAGAGAGAGAGAGAGAGAGAGAGAGAGAGACGGGCAGAGGGAGGAGCAGGCTCCATGCAGGGAGCCCGACAACGTGGGACTCCATCCAGGACCCGGGGTCACGCCCTGGGCCAAAGGCAGCGCTGAACCAGAGCCACCGGGGCTGCCCCCAACCAGTGGTTCTTGGTGAAGGGGGTATCACCCTCTCGGGGGGCGGGAGGGGGGAGGCTTTGGGAATCTGTAAGGGTATTTCTACCTATGGATATGACTGGGTGGCACTTAGTGGGTTGGGGCTGGGGGACGCTAAATATTTTGCAAGGCTGGGGTCTGTCCTTCAACAGAGGTTGATCTGAGTCCTGCATAAATTTCAAATGCTCTGCCGGATTAAATCCAATAACAGTATGAGGAAGACTGAATTAAAAAAAAAAAAAAACAACGAATTACACAAAAAGTCCGGAATTCATTAGCTTCAGTCAAAATACGGTACTATCTCAAAATCTTTAAATGACCTCCCTACACCCTTAGTTCCCACTATTCAAACTACCACACCAGTTCTAATCAGAAGGACAGTTTCCACCGCCCTGGTGCGGTCCCAAGTAATGACATCCGTAAGGCACGCGTTAAAGGCACCCTCCGTGGAATTTCACTCACGCTGTCTAAGGCAATAAACCTACGTGGTTGCCATGTAGATGTGATTATTATTTTCTGGACGACAGGAAACCGAGACTGGGTGAAAATGACGTACGTTTAAGGGCCACCACCGCATTTGTGGGACTATTAAGACTTTTCATTTTCTTCACTCTGTCTCGTTCGTCTCGGCACGTTTTCCCCACTTTCATTAAAAAAGAAAGAGAATCACAAAAGGCCAGTCAGTTTTTTTTGTTGTTGTTGTTTTTTTGAACTGGTCTGGGCTTCGCCATCTTTTCCATATCCATTACCCAAAAATAACTAAAACTACACACGTTTTCGTTAAATTCTATGCGTAAATTCTATGCGGATTTAGTTAAAATAATTCTATGCGTGCACACAGGGTTGGAAAATCGCTCAAAAAAATAAATAAATAAATAAAAAATAAAAGAAAATCTCAGTCGGTGCCAACGATGGGTGAGGGCAGGAGGCCCCAGTCGCCGCGACCCGGGGGCAGGGGCGGCTCTCACCTCAGGGTGAGGGAGGTCCGGGGCGTGGTCGAGACGCACGGCGGAGCTGACGTACTCGATGCGGTGCCGGCCGCCGGCGGCGAAGACGCTCTCCGCCTGGGAGATGGCCTCCAGGCTCGGGTCAAAGGTCTTCACGTGGAGGCCCAACCTCGAGTCCGGTGTGAGGTGCCGCTGCAGCTCCCGTAAGGGGAACGCGAGCTTCGTCATTTGTCTCTGGGGCAGCCTGAGAACTTCCGCGAAGGTGCGGAACGTGCTGCAAGCTCGGCTCACGCGGCCCGGAACCGCCGGCCGCTCCAGGAGCCTGCTCGCGGCTCGCCGCAACCCCCGCGCGGTCATCTTGCGCTCCCACAAGCCCCGCGGCGTGTGGTCTGCGCCTGGGTGACGCGCCGCTCCCGCTACGCCTGCTGGGAATTGTAGTCTCATCCGGCCTCACACGTTTCCGCCCCAGAGCTCGAGGCGGAGGTTTCCTCGCGGGGGCGGAGGGGCGGGGGACTCAGGAACTGACGGTTGAGTCCCTCGCAGCCGCTCGCTGACGACTGTGCCTTTGACATGTATTATCACCGTGAAGCGGTTGTTAGACAGTTACAGAGGTGAAAAGACATATTCGGGCTGCGTGGCCCTTGAGTGTCAAACCAAGGAGCAGATGTGTGAAACTCTGGTAGATTCCAGGCCTGTTTACCCCTCGCTGTATCCGGTGGTGTCACGGATCATCGACGTTGATGCGGACGTTCCCATCCCTCGGCGAAGATGTGATGAGCTGTCGTAGAGCTGCGATGGATGCACAGTCCCAGAGGGAACTGTCAAAAGTCCGGGAAAATCAGGCCACATCAGTATTAAAAGATTCAGTCTGGGGATCCCTGGGTGGCGCAGTGGTTTAGCGCCTGCCTTTGGCCCAGGGCGCGATCCTGGAGACCCGGGATCGAATCCCACATCGGGCTCCCGGTGCATGGAGCCTGCTTCTCCCTCTGCCTGTGTCTCTGCGTCTCTCTCTCTCTCTGTGACTATCATGAATAAATAAATAAATAAATAAAAATTAAAAAAAAATAAAAGATTCAGTCTGGTGGATGGGGTGTTGCCATGGTACCCTAGGTGTTCTTGTGATAGCTGGACTGACGGTTGGCAGCATGTGGGCTCCAGGGGGTCTGTCTGGGTGAAGTAGCTCCCTCTGCAAAGGACCTAGCCTCCTGGCTGGGCAGGGTTTCAGGCCTTCGATTCAGAATAAGATTTAAATCCCAGTGGGGAAGAGGAACGTGGATTAGGAAAACCAAGCAGCTGCTTAAATCATGCAGAGTTTGCAAACATAACAAGGAGGTGAGATAGGGCTTGAATTGATCCAAGGGCATCGCTCTTCCCCGGGGAACTGTGCAAATCCCACCCTGGGTCTAGGTCCACAGCACTGAAGTTAGCATGTATTTTGCTAAACAGAAAGAAGCTGGGAGAGAGGCCGATAAATGAGGATTGAATTCATGTACTGAACCACTGTGTACTCCCCTGTATAATACTGTAGGGTACATTATCTAACAGAGTGGTAAGGCATCCCCTGCAAGATTCCATCATTTGTTAATTCATCAAATATGTAATGAGCACCAACTACATGGCAAGTGCTACACTAGACGCTGGAGATGTATCAGAGAATAAATTAAACAGAAATGCTAATTCTGTCCCCATGTTATTGTCTTGAGACAACAAATAAGTAAAACACGGAATATATTAGATGATGAATGCTTAGGAAAAAGCCAAAGAGGAGTCACGAGGTTGTGTGTGTGTGTGTGTGTGTGTGTGTGTGTGTGTGTAGCCATTATGTTGAAGTCGGATGGGCAGCTGGCTCTGCCGTTAAGTCACAGTGGTAGAATGTGAGTCCAGCACTCATGACGGCCATTCTTCCCAGCTACGTGGAGGACACCAAAGGCGCTTGAAGAGACAATGATGCTAACACACAAAGGAAAACAATATCGAGAAGAGGGGGTCCAGGCAGCGTGACTCCTGATGAGCTATGTTGACTATCAAGTTCTCTGTCCTTCAGCTCTTCAGTCACACAAGTCATTATGTTCCTCACCTTCACCTTTACTGGACTGTGTATGACATGGATTTGGCTGCAACCAAGAGTCCTGATTAATATAGCACTGTAGGATGTTGTGTGGTTCCTCGTGTAAATCCAGAGCCATCAGACTTGTGGGATAGTTGGAATGTCCTAGGTAATTTTCAACCGTATTATAGAGAAGTCATGGTAGAGCTTTAGGGCTTAAAGTTAAGTACCTGTGACAGCAGATTAGGCAGGCCAAAATGTTATCCTCCCTTACTGTATTGGCTGGACTTTAGGGAGTTTAAGTCTCCCTTCCACTCACAGTATTTCCTCATCCAGTGGGTATTTATCATCTTTGGTAGAGGTCAGTAATCTAGTTACATTGTGAAAATCAGCAGAGTTCAGGATGTGTTTATGGTTCATCCTCCTGAGAAAAAGTACCTTGTGTTTGACAGTTTAGAAGGTAGTTTACCACAAAATTAACAAGATCTTACTACTTAGTATGACTTGGGGAGGTATCATATACTTTGCATATATTCCTTAGCATTAGCGTTTATTGCTACAATCTGGCTGGCCTAAATGCCATAGTATTACTCTGTCACCTTCATCTAATGAGAATGGGAGGAACACAGGTAGAACAGTGGCAGGATCTTAGCATTAGCACAGGGTTATCTCAATTGTTCCCTCAGTGATGTCTGTCTCTATAATGATTGGCCGTTAGTTCTGGGGTGATCTCAACTTATGTTCAAATGCTATAGGTGTCAAATTTAGGGAATCCATCTAAGACACTGAGAAGGCAAACATTGTAGGCTGAACTAGGTAGATAGAGTCAATAACATCAGAGAATCAGCAAGCATAGCATACATGTAGATCAACTCTCATCTAAGGCCAAGAAGTTTGCATGCTCTGCCAGAAGCAAAGGCAGAAATTCCAGAAAACTCATTTCTAGATGCAGAGAAAGGTAAAGATCTCAGTGTCCAATTTACACAAAACATTTTCCTACCATACTCTTCCCTAGTAATAGTAATTAACATGTATTAAGTGCCTGCTCTGCCTGGAATTGACCTGGGTGCCAGGAATAAAAGAAAAACAGGGTCACCATCTAATAGGGACCTCCAACTCTTGTAATAGGAAGAAAATATTGGGAGAAAGGAAGAAGGAGGAGGCATTATATGAATGGGAGCACCATGGAAGAACCTTCCACATGTAACTTAAATTGCTTAAGTTGTAATGACTACTACCTGAATGAATGCAGTAAATTTAAAATGCATTTAATTATATTTTTCTCAAGTTTTCTGCACAACAGCTCATTTCATTTAAAAAAAATGTACATTAGGGGGATGCCTGGGTGGCTCAGCGATTGCACATCTACCTTAGGCTCAGGGCGTGATCCCAGAGTCCCGGGATCAAGTCCCACGTTGGGCTCCCTGCATGGAGCCTGCTTCTCCCTCTGCCTATATCTCTGCCTCTCTCTGTGTGTCTCTCATGGATTAAATAAATGTTTTTAAAAAGTTTCTTAAAAAAATAAAACTAAAAAATAAAAAAGTACATTAGGGACTCCTGGGTAGTGCAGTTGGTTAAGCATCCAACTCTTGGTTTCCACTCAGGTGGTGATGTCAGGATCATGAGATGGAACCCTGAGTTGGGCTTTGCACTCATTGCAGAGTCTGCAAAAGTTTCTTCTTCCCAATCCCATGCTCCCTGCCCCCACTCTCTCTCACACACTTTCTCTTTCAAAGTAATCAATTAATTAATCAATCAATTAAAAATACATTTTAAAAAGGTGCATTAGGGGCCCCTGGGTGGCTCAGTCAGTTAGATGTCTGCCTTCGCCTCAGGACCCTGGGATCGAGCCCCTGGTTGGGCTCCATGCTCAGCGGGGAGCCAGCTTCTCCTTTTCCTTCTGCCTCTTCCCCCGCACTCCTGCTTGTGCTCATGCTATTTCTGTTTCATATAAATAAATACATAAATACATAAATACATAAATACAATCTTTTAAAAAAATGCACATTAGATATCCCCTAACATGTTGATACAAGTTTATGGTGCACACATGCAATGTGATGTATGACTTGTTTCTTTAATGTTCTAACTGGATTGTAAATTATTCTTGAGATTCATTGTTTTACCATCAATCTAGAACAACAGAGATGATCCTCTTCTTCTGGAACTCAACACATAATTTAGTTTCACTTTATATTTCATTAATGTTGCTTTAGAGACTATCTCTAACTTCAGAGAGGGTTTTTCCTTCAGAGAAGCCTTTTGAGCTTTCTTTTAAGGTTGTGCCTGCTGTACTAAGAGATTTCTTTAAAGAGATCTGGAGATTAAATATCAGACAGTGCTCATGTGTAGGAGGTGAGTTCTTAGAATGATTTGGGTTTGGAGGAAGGGTAATGTAGAGCTTCACTTCCTTCAAAGTTGTTTTTCTCAATAGAAAAAAATGTTTTATGTAGTCAGTTTTTCTCATTTGTAATTGTGTGTTTGATTTCTGTCATACTTAAGCTATTAAAATATTTTAAAACACTCTTCAACTTGTGTTTTTATATTACTCAGGTTCATTTTTTTTTTTTGCCAGAAAAAAAAAAAAAAGCATGGATTTTGCTGTTCTCACTGATGACTTCATTAACATTTTAATTCTTTTTGCCTAATTGACCAAGTTATTTTAATGGGTAAATTTACCTTGTAGTATATCTCTGATCTATATCTTCATTGCTTTATTGTAAGTGAATGGGGTGTTCTCTGGCACCCTGAGTAGATGAGATGCATTCCAGGGGCAGAGCTGTTGAGATATATTCAGATCATTTAATTCACTTACAAATAGATTTGTCATGTGTTCCCAAGACTACTCCCCAGATTCAGTGCTCAGAATTCAGTCCTCCCCAGATTAGGAGGACTCACAGTGCTCAGCATGTGATTGTACTTTTGGCTATGATTTATCACAGTGAAAATACACAAAGCAAAACTGGTAAAGGGGAAGGCACTCAAGGTAATGTCTGGAGGTCAATCAGCCACAAGTTTCTATGAGTCCTTTCCCAGTGGAGTTGCACAGGATGCACCCTATTCTGCCCATAATGTGAGAAATGTCTCCCAGGAACACTTACTTGAGCCTAGACTCTAGCATTTGTATTGCAGGCTGTTCATGTAGAAGTAACTGACTCTAGTCACTGAAATTCCAGACTCTTGGAAGGAAAGCAGGTGCTCAGTATAAACCTCATTTTATCTTTCATACAAACAGTAGAGGTTACACTGAGCCACTCTTGTCATTTAGGTAACATTTTCTAATCAAGTTCCCAAACACCAGCCAAGTGCCAGTCTGTAAACAAGCCCTTCTGGAGATTGCAGTCATAGGCCTGCTATGTTAACTCTTTTCTGTACATTGATTAAAAGTTTAAAAAATTTAAATCATTAGTTAATCTGAGAGAGAGTAGGGGGAGGAGAAGAATGGGAGGGAGAAGGAGGAGGAAAGAATCCTAGGCAGACTCCACACTGAGCACACAGCCTGACTCCGGGCTCGATCCCACGACCCTGAGATCACAACCAGAGCTGAAACCAAGAATGGGAGGCTCCACTGAGTGAGCTACCCAGGTACCTTTTTTTTAAGGTAAAAATTTTAAAAGTAAGAAGTTCCTCATCTGCACTTATTATGAAACTGTTCACTTGTAGGGATGTCAGTTACGTTACAGCTTCTGCTCTAAATACAAATAACTTCCCTGGAGATTTTTTAAAAAGTGGGACAAACCTTCTCTAGTCTTTTTAGCAGAACCTTCTCTAGTCTTCTTTAGTCTTTTTAAACTAGAACTTTGTGGGAGGTAGCTAGGTCAGCTACCTATAATGAATCATGGGGCTTCTAGAGAGCAGTTGGCACTGAATGATAGTGGTTGAATTGGTATGAATAGCAGATCCTAGGTTGACCAGGTGTGCTCTGCTGCAATGTTTAGCTG